GCGTCTGTGTGTGTGTGAGTGAGTGATGGTAGAAATGCATGTTTTATTTTAGATTATTTTATTATTTTTATATTTACTACATGTGAATGTTTGTCTGATACTGTGCACTGTGAGCTCATGTAACCAAAACCAAATTCCTTTTATGTGTAAGCATACCTGTCAAATAAAGCCTGATTCTGATTCTGAAGTGATTCTACAGTAAAATAAACTATTTAAAAAAACAATTTAAGTGTTCACACCTTTTCCAGCTATTTTAAAAGATTATGTCATGATCTATTTAAATCTATGATATTAATTGAGATGATAAAAGGCTAAACATATATATAAATTCATCCATTATAGGGTAATTATTTAAGTTTCATTTTTAAATAAAAAATTTTATTTATTGAAAAATCCTGTCCCATATTTTCATGTGACTATCAAAACACAAAGTTTTAGTCCACTGGTGGAGCCTCATTTTAGCCACACCCCTGCATTTTAGAGTAGTGAGACTGCATCCCTGTCCCTCATGGCCACATGGTGAGCAGTTAGAGCCAAGTGTTTCGAAGTAAATAAGTCCTAAAGTCTAAAAAGTCAGTGTGTAACTATACATCTATATACATGTATATACACACACATATATATGTGCATATTTATATACACAAGCACATATATTCTGCCAACACATGACAAGGCTAACCACTAAAATAGAGTTCTTGCCACAGTTCCCATATTCTCAAGTTCAAAACAGGACAATTAATCTACAACATTTTTCATGATGGCCTATTAAGAAGAAGAATAAAATGAATTATCTTTGAATAGAGAGGTCACTGTGAAGTGACCTCTCACAGGGCAGTGTGATGTCTGTCCTGCTGGGTGGCGTTTGTTAAGTTAAATGAGCCCACTTTACTAGCCTAATGCTATTCTTTCTGGATTTAACTAGAAGTTAGTTTTGTTGTTTATTTGTTTGGATCTGTTTAACTCTAATCTGAATACTGAAGTGAAAGTCCGGGCTATGACATTTTAATGCAGGCTATCTTAGGTGATTTGGGGAAATTACACACATACTTTATCCTGTACAAATCGGCCACTCGAATGCCATACACATTACACTACTGGATTACTCTCCTCTGGTAAAACTAATCCAGCTCAAATAAGGCTTTAGTAATAACACTGTTAAAACTAACTCCACCATGTGGAGGCTGTGCTTAAGTCTGTATATCGGTCTGAATTCTGTGGCTTCTACATGTTAAATGACTTTGGTAAGGGAATACAGGAAGGTGACCAAAAGCATGGTCTACTTGAAGCTCTTTAACTACATTAAAAATGTTTATCCCATGTTAGGTTGTGGCCACTCTCCATTAAACCTCATATTCAATAATGCATTAGTAATGATATTAGGCCTATTTCAGATTCAATAATGCATCAGTTACATTATTACATACCAACTAAAAATGGCATCATACACTTGCCAAGGTCTTATTATGCGGGCGCTGCAAAGGTCAAAGGAGATTACATAAATTAAGCTTTAAAATATCTGTTCTGGATGAAGTGCATGTGACCACATCCACATGCCCTGTTGTATTTCTGCTGATTGAGTTACTATGCAAAAAAAAATCCTCCCCAGACATGCACTCCAAACAGCCTACTGCGCTAACTGTCTGTACATATTAGCTTTAGCTGATAAAAGATCCTTGGACCTTTTCGATGTTGGGCCTGTTAGGTCAGTCATAATGGCTACAAACAATCCAGGATTCAGAATGGTCTCCAAAATGGACAAGCTTTTGTTAAACTGCTGAAGTGATGACACAGAAGAACCATTTTCGGTTCCCTAAAAACCTTTCAGTTGAATAGTTTCAGGTGAATTCTTTCAACTGAGAGTTTTATTTAGGGAACCAAAAGCAGTTCTTCTATGGTGTCACTTTAAAGATCCTTTTCAGGCACACTTATGTTGCCGTGGTGCTATATACTGTAAATGCACCCCAAACGTCTACTTCTCTTTCATTCTGTCCCTCATCCCTTTCTCTTTCCCTCTCCCTCTGCATTGCTAGGCTAAAAGAAGTACAGATTTATTCTTGTAGGTGGCCACAAAGCTCTCATTGTTTCACTGCCCCACTTGTTTTAAAGCCTTGGACGCATGAAGCCCACTTTGCTCCAACCCGATGAGCTGCTGTTGCTTTTGAAAGAAACCTTATTGACGTCTTAATTGAAAAGACGCGCAAACATACAGGCTCACTGGGAGCTAAAGCACATTGGAGGTTCATGTTTCATTTCATTATGTATTATATTTGGTTTCATTGTTATCTAACTGTTCATGATGTTTTAGACAATAAACAAGCTTAAGCATGTCATGTTGATTGGTAGCTAATGCTTGTAATGCCTAATCAATGATTAAGTTGCTGTATTTTCCGAATATCTAAGCTTTAAAGGAATATTTTAGCAAAAAAAAATCATATTTACACATATTTCCATCCCAGATAGAGTCAATCAGCATGTTTGGTGTCTAAATTTAGCTTTTTCTAGTTCAGCACTGGAGCTAAGTCTAACATAGATCTGTAGATCTGTTAGCCTGCTTAATCCAGCTACAAAGTGAAGTTTTATTCATTTTTATAGTTTACAGTAAGTCATACTGTGTCCTAAACCACATCAACAAGTCTGCACAACCTTAATTAAGAACAGGATGTGGTGTGAGAGAAGTTTTTGGATGTATTTATGTGAAAGATTTGGGTGACTATTAACTAAAGAAGCTACATTTGGACACCAAACGTGTCTTAGATGATCAACTATATCTGGAAAACTGTGTAAATGTGATTTTACACTGAACAGTTCCTTTAATGAAATATCTGTGCAATATTAGCCTTTTTATTACATTTTTACACACTTTATGATCCATGTCTTCCTTTTCTGGGTGTGTATCTGGACAGTTCTTCACCTTAATGACTGAATTTTTCTGAGAATTTGCTTATTTCTGATCAAAGCCCATTGTGAAGCATGAGGTCCCCTGCCCAACAGTTAGATTTCTCTTAAATCTAACAGCAAATTGTTCCCCATGGTGCAAAATTGGCCTAGCCAATCCATGCTTCCAGTGTTGTTATGGTATGAAAGGCTTCTGTTATTACAGCAGAATACCTAGAATCAGGCCTGCCAGTTGCTGAATTCCTGTTTATGTCATTTCTTGTATCCAGTAAAAATGTTTCCTGTTAGTGGGCTATAGTGCAGGCTACAACCGTCCAGCTACGTTTGCTTATTAATTAAAGGCACTGCGGTAACTCACTAAAATATACATCAGAAAAATTGTTTATTTAACCATTTATTTCTTTAGCAATCTGTTAAATTAACACCAGCTACACAGGTGGTCCCCAGTCCTGCTCCTGTAGGCACTTCCATTTGACATGAGAACCAACTGATGCTGCTACCAAAGCACAGCATATGACACCAAATCTGATTATAAAAGGTAAAATATTATCTATAACTGAAGAAGCAAATCTGATGAGGATTAGTGATTAAGAAGAAAGCAAGGGAGAGTTGTTTAAGCTTTTAATTAAAACTAATACTGAATTTAATTGACTGAGAAACTGAGAAAATATTTGACATTATGACCATAAAATTCTGTCACCTATATTAAACATGTCTACAGAGCAAAATCACACTCTTTCTGCACTAACTGAGACTGAAATGATCTATAATCTGTTTATTTGAATAATATATTTGGGACCTTGCAGCTTATCTACAAGAGAGATGTCAGACTTCAGTGCGTTTGCTCGATCTGTGTATGTTGTAAGTGGATGGACATCGTGTTTAACTCATACCAGCTATGTGCTTAATAGAAACTACAAACTCTACATGTTCTGGTTGTTGCTAATCTAAATGTTTGGGACAGACATTTTGGGGCCATTAAAACATTCTCCTGAGGGACTATGCACCCATATTTTCCTAGTACAGGCTCAGCCTTTCTGTCCATTAAATGGGGAACTCCACCAATGTTTCAAAATTGCTGTATAGTTAAATGGTTAAGATGTAAACAAAGTCACGCAGAGTAGTTTGGTGTGAAATGCTTCGTTTTAGAGAAACTCACCAAGTCAGAATTGTTCACAGTGGTGGTGATGGGAACCAGACGACTGAAGAGTTTAATGCCTCTAAAAGCTCCCTCACAGAAAATTATTGCATGGTTACGAAAACAAGTCCTGATGTCTGATTGTTTTACAACAGTTTTGTGTGATAAGCTTTTGGTTCATAATGAATTTTAGACAGTTTATTTTAATCCATTCATGGTAGAAGGATACAAAAAGGGTGCTCTAAGGCAAAAACAGTCCCCAAAGAAAACAGTTTTCAGATTTACCACTATTTTGCCATCATCATTATTACATATAAAACCTCAGAAGACACATGTAGGTTTAGTGGTGGTTTTGGATGGTAAATAAAATGGTTATGTGTCGTAGACATGGCGACCCCTGGTTCCTATCACCACCACTGTAAAGAAAACAGAATTGGTGTGTTTCCCTACAAATGAACCATTTCACATCAACCCACTCTGAATAACTTTGTTTACATCTCAACCACTGAATTGTGTAGAAATTTTGAAAAATCGGTGGAGTTCCCCTTTAACCTCTAGCGACTCCCCTGCGTTTTAGGCCAAAATCTTATCTCAAAACTATCATAAAACGATGTATTTGGTCATCAAGGAACGTATTAATAACATTTATATGTTATAGCTTTCTGTGAAGGAGCTTATAGACCCTTTAAACTCTTCAGACGTCTGGTTCCTATCACCACCACTGTGAACAACTCTGGCTCTATAAAGGAGCATTTAAACCAACTTGAATGACTTTGTTGACGGTTTAACTACGCAGAAGTGTTGAAAAATGAGCGGAATTCCCCTTTTAAGACACGCTTAAGTGAATAATTAGCAGAATTAGCAGAATTAGCTAAACAAACATCCGGCAGGCAGGATAACCCGCCCCAAGACCCAACAGGTAGGCTGAGAGGCGCGGCTACCACAGCTGCAGGCTGCGGGGTGGAGTCACTCAGGCGGGTCTTCTCACCAGCAAAAACGTCCAGCCACATCTCAGCCTGCGAGGTTTATCAGCACCGCAGATAAGAGACGAAAAGGGGGCAGAAGGACCAAAGACGAAGCCGAGCTAGACCTGAGCAGAGCTGCCATGGCGTTTCACTGGACTCTTACCTTATCGCTGCTGTGTCTGATGGACTTCGGGCTAATTTGGGCTTTCAACCTGGACACGGCGAATGTCATCACGAAAAGCGGGGATCCGGGCAGCCTGTTCGGCTTCTCTCTCGCCATGCACCGGCAGCTGGTCCCTGCTGATAAGAGAATGTAAGTGTTTTTTTGGGTTCATTTTCTCCTTGTTTGACCCCAATAACTCGCCAAGACACAGGTTGCATCTGCAGGACTGGAAGGAGGACGACCTTTGGGGCATGCCTTAAAGTTTGTGTGTTAATGTTTAGACTTATTTAGGCTATTTTGGCTTTTTTTAGTTTTTGACATGCAATCATTCACTTTATTCTGTTTTGTAATGAGCTGACAGGTTTCACCTCTACAGAACAGGATTAGCCCACAGCAAGGAGAAAAAACATATGGATATGCAGCCAAGTAGGGCCATACTGTTTATGACTCTATTGTAGGGCTGGGCAGTAGTCCTAAAATTCAATATCACAGTATTTTCTGACTGTATCACGGTGTTAGATGATATTTCAATTTGCATTAGTAAAGTTAATAGGCCTATTATTCTTGAAGGTGGTTGTTGTATGCTAAAAAGATGTCTTACAGACCGGACAGTACATTGTAGATGCTAAAAAGCAGATCATATTCATTGTTTTTGGTCATAGTCTGGTACCACATATGTCTAATTTTGCTGGACAAAGCGCAGCGTTACATGTGGGAATGAACCTTTACTCCGTTCCATGTGCAATTTTGATTGATTTGTGCTTTTCTGAGCATGTTCAACAAGGGCTGACCGATTTGGGGAAAATATCTAATTGCGATTTTTATGACTAATGTTGTAACTGCGGTTTAAATTGTGATTACTTTCTATAAATTAAGCTTTTTTTTTGCCAGGAAGACCAGAATAACCACCTTTTTTGGCTTGAGGCTTGACCCCTGAATGTAATGTGCCAGACTGCCAGTGATATATGGTTGTGATGTCACAAGTCATGGAGGTTTGGTGGCCTCTGATTGGTCTAACGTATAAACAGTTCACAAGCTCTGTGTTATTAGGTTAAATTCCCCCACTTAAAACTTAAGACGTTTTTAATAATGTAGGCTGTAATTTTAAAAAAATGCAGCTTTTGCAGATTTTAAAATTGCACTCCTTTAAATTGTGATTTCGATATAAACACGATTAATCGTTCAGCCCTGTTGTCAAATGATAGCACTTTTATTTACACAAGTGTAACTATGGAGAAAGCAGTCTCCTCAGGTCCATTTTAGGCTTTCGGATTCTCTCTTTGGGGTTTAATTCCATTCTTTTCTGTTGGTTCAGCTTCTGGACTGCTTTGCTGCCGCTCACACTGCTAACTTTGGAGATTTATCATTTTGTTTTAGTCAGAAAGAGAAGAATAGTGCATGACAAGCCTGTGCTGTTAGATGCTGAATGTACTAAAAGGTTCCTCCACACTTCTCAGTACTAGAGGAGATGGTGGCGACTCTTACTTCATTACTTGCAGTCATACTTTCGTGGAAGTGACAGCACTGTAACTGGAGGATAGTTTTATGTGCAGTTCTTTCTCTACAGCCTCAGCTTTTTATCACTTTAATCAGCTTTGCATCACTGAAAGCAGCTCATGTGCATTCAGTGTTGTGCCCCACCCTGATCAAGTGCATTTACGCCTTCATACGGCCATACAGCCTCCTCTTTATTCCTGTTATTTCTATGATTTCGTTTTTACTCTTTATTCTTATTATTCAGTAACTACTGTGAAGAATTCAGTAACTACTGTGAAACAAATATTTAAAGGAATAGTTTATTGCAAAGTTAAATATGCACAATTTTCCACTCACCACAGATGTAATCAGCCAAGACAGTCCAGATTCTTCTTCTTTAGTTAAAAACTGGAGCTATGAGGCTAATGTTGCTAACAAACACTAGAGCTCAGTAGTCACCCAAACAGCCCAAACTGTTTTTGTAAAAAAAATACATCACCAAAGCATCTCTCAACCCACTCAAACCACGTACCTTGGACTTTAAGAATGAACAGAAACTTCACCGCTTCAGCCATTTCAGACGACACCAAGGCTGGTATTCACAAAGCAGATTCATTCTTATTTATGACAGTCATTGTCACAAATACTGACTGTAGACCGGCACTCCTGATTGTGAATACAGACCCTTTTATCTAAAGTGGGTCAGTTTTATTAATTTTTATAGTTCACTGTAAGTCATACTATGTTCGAAACCACATCGACAAGTCTGCACAGCCTTAATAAAGACCTGGATGCAGTTTAAGTGGGTTGAGAGAAATTTTGATGATGTATTTTCACAGAAATTATCTGGGCTATTTGGGTGGCTATTGAGTTCTAGTGTTTGTTAGCACCATTAGCCTTGTCACTCCAGTTCTAAACTAAAGAATCGAAATTTGGACACAAAGCATGTCTTATCTGATCAACTACGTTTGGGGTAAGTGGAGAAATATGTAAATGAGTTTCTTTTGCTTTACTATTCCTTTAAGTTGGGTAATTATGAGAGTGAGGAGCTGAAATGTGATCTGACATACAGATCCTTAGGGGTGAGGGTTTAAAAGGTAGTCCAATTTTATTTCCAGCGATGACAATAGGTTAGTTTTTTAACGGCCTAATAGTTTCAAATGGTGGAATAAACTCGAATAGCCCTGTTTGAGGCACTTGCACCAGGCACAGTGAAGGAATGTGTGAGCAAGGCTGTGATTCATTCCTGAAGTCTACAGATGGGCAACAGGATAGAGAAGCTGCCAGAGCCAACCTGCTGTTTTCCTGAGAGAAAGAAAGAGAGGGATAGAGAGAGAGTGTGTGTGAAAAACAGTGTGTCATGACTAGAGGTGGGCAAAGGAGCTTGAAAGCACACTAAAGTAAAAGTGCTGTTACTTTAGTGAAATAATGAATGTAAGAGGTGTTTTTACATCAAAAGAAGTAGCATTACTGAGCCAGGACAAAAAAAAGCTTCAAACTGTAAAACCTAAAATAATCATTTAAAAGTATTTTAATGTCAGATGTGTTAGGTCAGGTATGGCGGGAGGTTTTCTGACCACGTCGTACATATTTATGTATTAACGTCACACACACAGGCCCAAAAAGAAGGCCCAGCTCGATGTTTAGGTCTCAAATGCAAAATCGGATATGATGACAATAGTAGATAGTTCACTTACATCCTTGGAAGACATGTCCTTCACCAAGTTTTGACTGAGTTCTCTTTAAATACTCTTTAAATACTCTTTAAATACTCCTCAACAAGCTTTCAATCATCAGATTTATTCCCTCGGCGAAGGGGACCGAAGCACAACCTGTGTTACAAAATGTTCCACATGTTACATGTTATTACAGAGTTCCACCAGAGAGGTCACCAAATCCCCAAAACTTACAAAGTGCAACTTTAAGTAAAGATCACAAGGTCCAAAAAGAGTTCTCCTTAGAACTTCTTAGTACATCCAGCGTCTATCAGTATAGGAGCTTAAGTTTGTCAGGCTTTATTCTGTGCGTTTTGGGCTCCTTTTGGTCTAAAATAAAATGCTAAAGGTCCAAAATGAGAGGTGTGAGCAATCACAGTGCAGTACAGGAGCAGAACCATGAGTATTAAATCAAATTAAACCCCCTAAAAACTGAGGAAAAAGGAGATTACTTTCCTCACAGCTGTGCTCAAAAAGAAGTAAAAGTATTAGCACTTAGTAATAGTACAAACTTGTACTGACATACACGAAACTGCATAAATGTAACCTGTTACTACCCACCTCTTGCATGACCTCTTGTGTGTACACAAAGTATTGACGCTTGCTTATCCTTCAAACAGTGTTGTGCCTAAAGTTCATGAGTGTTATTTGAGAGCAAGGTGCCCTGTGGCGGAAAGTGTGCTGAAGCTTTTACGACATGCTGTAAAAAGCCTATAATACAGCTTCTCCTCCTAGACATGAGCTTTGGGTTCAAAGCATGCATATATCGAGCACTTAAGTATGTCTCATTCGCGGGATGATTAAGTAAATTGGCTAAAGTTGCATTTCTTAACCTTTTAAAAATGAATAATCCAGCATTCGTCAACCTGATCTGCATTTGCTGTATCATTACTGTACTGTCAGTTTTAACAGACAATTACTTTGATCTTGTTTTCCCTAAAAGAGCAGAAAACCTACCAGAAATATATAATAATAATGGGCAGTTGCATCAACACCGCAAAATACCGTTGTAATAGAGTTCAGTGCTTCAGGAGTTCATTAGGAGTTCAGTTATAGTCAGTTAATTTACATAAGAAGATTTCATGTGTGATTGAATGCTGTACAGTTCATACTGGACCGAAGAATAATTTGCATATATTTCTATAGAAATGTTTTAGAATAATATCGAAAGTTATAAACGTTCTGTGCAAAAGTCTGTCACTTAACCACACCATTTATCTTGACATTAAGTGTGTTTGGGCTTGTAAAAACACCATATAACATCAGAATAGATGCAAATAAACATACATACAGTAAAGGTGTGGTTCCAGATTTCTCCTTAGTGGCCCCAGCCATCACATGGATTTGTTAAATTCCATCACTAGCATTCCTGATTTAACATAAGGAAGAACTGTTACATACATAAAATCACTACTTCTTGTATTAATGTATTTATTTATTGTGATATTAGTGCTTTTTCTCAGCATGTTGATGCTTATTGACCAGATAAATAGCTTTTTAATTCTAATTTTCTCAGGTTGCTAAAATTTGGCGCAATACAGTCAAAATTATTGTTTTAAAGTATAGACTCCTCTCAGAACGCATTGCTTTTTGTTGCTACAATAATTTGTTAGCCTATAAATTTGGATACTAAGCTCCTACTTATCAAAACTTCACCCAATTTCACCCCCAATGGCCAAGCATTAATGGAATAGGCGCTGTTATCAAAGCACAGGGATGCGTAACCAAACATTACACAAAAACGTATGCATGCAACAAATCTTTTGTCCAGAGAGCTCATGTAGTAGTTAGCAGGTACTTGATAAAAAGCATTAAGATGAAAAATCTAACAATAAGTCTGCGGTTCAAGGGGTTAATAGCGAAGTTAGTGTGCGTAGACTCTTGACTCATATCCCCGACTGCCTCATAAGGGCGAGGTCGAGCCGGCTGGCTGGATGGTTTACTGAAATGCCTGTCAGT